AACCAAAAAAATAAAAAAATATTAGTGTGTTTAGTGGGTTTAAGTTTTTCCGTGTCGGTTAGAGTCTAGTTGTTTAGGGCTTAGGGTTTAGGAGGGTTTAAGCATTTCCGTGTTAGTTAAGGCCTAGTTTGGTCTTTTGACCATTGGTCTTTGTTTTTTTGCTCCTCATACATACTTGCTATTCATTCTTGTTTTTGGTCTTTGATATTTAGTTTTTGGTTTTTGGTCTTTAACCTTTTGTCTTTGGACTTTATTTTTCACATACGTTCGCTCTTCACTCTGGTCTTTGGTTTTCACACACACTCGCTCTTTACTTTAATTTTTGTTCTTTGATTTTTTGTCTTTGCTCTTTGGTTTTCGGTTTTTGGTCTTTGGCCTTTGGTATTTGCTCTAGTTCTTGGTCCTAAAATACAAGTAAGACTATAGCGTCTTTTAGGATGACCAAGCCAACTGCATAAATTTTTTAAAATTTTGAAAATATATATTCATGATGGATTTTGTTGGATAGATCTCACCTAATACTATCAAAATGATATAAGACACTTGATCTAATTATTTACAGATTGAGAAATAAAGTGATTTGAAAATTTAAGAAAATTTTAATAAGGACGTGTGCTTCATGCATAAAAAAAATCCGGATGTGAGGGGACAAGGAATTAAATGCACACGTGTCTTCATGTTAAGTGCAGTTATCAAGGAATTAAACACTCCCGGTCTTCTTTAGCTGCATCATATCTAGTAGCTATGACAAAATCTTGATTAAAATGCGACATAATCGGTATTTCTTATTGATACTATGTTTCGTTAATGCTAGTACAAGACAAGTGCATAAATATTTTTTGGTGATTCATGATCTATATATTTATTATTACCATTTTACTAAAAAAAAAAAGTTTCATTTAAATGCAGACATTTTTTACTAAAAGAGTACTTCCAATTTCCAATAAGTCGCCCATTAGCACCCGTACTAAACGATGATGATAAACTAAAAAGAATGGCTAAAATGGTACGGAGGGGTGAATTTAGGAGGGAAATTTGGCATTTCAGCTAGGAACTATATGAAAAAAATAAAACAAATTAAGAAAACAAGAAACGGAAGCTTCTTCACGCCCTGGGAGACTAATAAAGAATTGATCATGGCTTCCATCACGATGAGTCCATATTTCAACTATTGCCGGCTGCAAAAGGACAAGAAAATGTACATAACGTTATCATTTTCTTTGTTTTCATTAGTAAAGTCTGAATTAAATCGTTTTTAATTAACGTTATCATTGGTTTTATGTTTTGGATAACGCTGTTGACATGCATCTGCAACTTTTGTTTTGTTTTGTTTGTTCTAGCTTAATAATTGTTGGTGAGGTGCGGTGGAAGTGTTAGAATGTGACTTTTGAACCTATACCTAACCTTAAAATTATAGTAATTTTGTTGGGTGATTACCAGTCCTTAAACTGTGAAATAAACTTGCTTGAGATTATATGACAGTTTTTTGCATTTTTCTATGAAAATAATCACTTAATAATTTATCTGATCTTCTAGTTCTATTGATAACATCGACTCGAATCAATATTCAGAAAAACATCTCTTTTTATTAATAATTTAATTTTAAATAAATACAAAACACGACTTGATTGTCGTCGTAAATGAAATGAGAGATGGGAAGACTACGATTAAGGGCGATAGGCAAATAGGGGTTTAAACTAGTGAGTCGCGTGGCTTGTGGGAAGTGTTGGTTGAACGATGCACATGCTTGGCAAGAGGGGCAGGTGAGCTTCACATTGACCAACTGTTTTTACCTTTTCGCGAGATCTGCTTCGAGATTAGAAAAGAAGCTGAAACTGAAACCCCACCTAATCATTACTGAACACACAACATTATCATAACATCTTTAAAAAACTTTTAATTATCAGCTTTGAGACGCACTCCTTTCGGTTCTTATTATAAAAAATATTTCATAACAATTAAGAAAATACAATGAGTATGAAAATATATATCTAAGATTTTTTATTAATTAAAAATATGTATTATGTAAAATCTAATACAAATCAAAATGACTTATATTAAGGATCGGAGGGAGTATATTATAACCTAGGTTTAAGGACCGGAGGGAGCACTTCGTTATTCTTCCTTCATCTTAAAAGTATAATCTAGATGCGAAGTATTTGTGAAGAAAAGAAAATTTGTAAATGAGATAAACCGACACGAACAAATTTTTTTGTTGGTTAAACAAATTACAAAAAGATAAGTGGGCATTGTACTTTAATTTATTTAATATTCACTATTAATATAATATTTCAATCAAAATCAGCTGTGTGGGTTGGAAGGTACATCTCGGTACGTAAGATCGGAAAGTTCTTGCCAAACGCTATGTAATTTTTTTTCATTATCCTGCAAAACTAGCAAAACTATAATCCCCAGAAAAGACCGTTTTGTTTATATGCCAATTTTTTATTATTTTTTTTTTACCGCTGGAATTAGAAAAATTATTACGTACAAGACTGGTAAACATTCCCTGCAACTAGTGTTTGTATTATTATAAACTATATTTCCCGAATTATTTTAACGTTTTTTGACCTAGCTCGGTTTTCTCCATAAATGAAAAGAGTACCACTTGTTGATAAATTATCAATGTTTTTTTAATTCATGATTTGCTGTTTGTTGCGTAAGAAAGTAAAATCGTAATCTTTCCATCTCAAAAATATTAAGCTTTTATTTTTTTTTTCGGTACAATAAGAAATATTAAGTTGATAATTAGTATTTGGTCTGTTTTTTCACCTTGTTTTTTTTTCCTTATAAAATTGAATATCTGGAAACGTCTTAATTTGTTTTTCTGTACATATAAATTGTTACGATATAGACATGGAACCAATCTGAATTATTCTTTAAAACAAATTAAAGTGTTCAGTTAATCGAACCTCTAAGCAGTCTCCCTCAAACAGTAAACATGAACTGATGAACGTGATGTGTTTCTGTCTACTATAGTCTACAAGTACCACAACCAATAACATATATAGAAGTCAAACACGGCCTTTTGGTTGATTAATTAATTATTGAATTGATTTGTTGATTTCAAAGATTAAATTATTTCCATCTGAAATTGAGAGTTACCTGCCAATTTACATCAGCCTAGGCCAGTGCATCAAAACCACCCCCAAATAAGTAGAGATCGATGCGGATGTGGGTCACATTCGTGTGCCACAGTAGTGATTTTGACGTAGTTAATTAATTATAACTTTGCCGTAAATTTTCTTATAAGTGGTGTAATAATAATCATTAAGAAAAAAAAAGGAAAATATAATTTTGGGCAAATGCGTTTGTGAAAATCAACAAAGAGAATCATAAGATCCATCGATCGAGAAAACACTCGTTCGGGTCAATGAACCACTCGAATAAGGTTCATCTGTTTATGATAATGTAAAAACAAATAAAATAAGTAAGGTATGAACTTATGATAATATTTCATAATTCATGTACGTATTAATTAACTAAAAAAAAAAGAAGAAGGAAACAAGAGAATGCATGTATAACAACATTGTGATTAATGTTGACACATGAGCCCATTTGCATAGAAAGAGCCAAGGGACTATTTCAATTCAAGCGGCTGGACCGCAGGATAGTGGATGGATACTACTAAAGAAAACAATAAGGGAGATAGACGAAAATGGATGGGGAATTACCTTAGTAGCTAGCTATCTTAACACCACTTTTCATTGCCTTCTTACGGAGATTTCCATCTTTGTCTATATCTTATTAGGAGGGTGAAAGTGAAATCAAACTTCAACTTTGTTCAAACTCTTTAATCACTATCATTATTGACGATTTTAATCCTCCAAAGTCCATACAAATTGAATTAGTAAACATATAAAATCATACCTCATCATTATTACTTCACTCATTTTGCATCTATTCTCCATAGTCCATATAATAAAATTTTCTCATTTCATAATAAAAATTATTGTTTTCAGGACTAAAAAAAAGGTGAATTTATTCTTTTACGCAATTAGATGAATGAAATGGTGCATAGGTAATGAGAAACAAAGCGGAAAATGAGGAATTCCCTTAATATTCTTACCTTGCAAATGACAAACGACTAAGAATTAAGAAAGAAACCACTCCTATGTGCACAAATTCCTCTGCCTTTTTTTTTTAGGGGGGCTTTTTTGGATCTCACGCCACCCAGTCACCACCACAGCTCCGCCGTCTTCCACCAGCCTACACCACCGTATCAAATTGACCAAAGAGAAATTCAGTTCATTCACAATTCTCACGAGGTGGAGCGTCAGTCAACGCGGGTGAGCGCGTTTCCTAGTATCTAACTACTATTCCATTGTTGTCAGCAAACCTTTACTGCACAGTATTTCCCCAGTTGTTGATATTTCCAAGTTTACTCATTTGGTTCATCCCAACTAAAGGCCGACCTTTTGGTATTCTTTCATTTTTGGATACTCAAAATTACTGTCCCGATTAATTTAAATTTTAAAAAGATAGTATTTTTTTTTTTGAGAAATTAAGATTTCTCATAACAAATATTTTTATTTTTTTCTGTCTCGCAAAAAATCAACAATTAAATAGGAGTATAAGAAATCTGCCTCGCAAAAATCAAAAAGGAAAGAATCACAAGAATTAAAACGAAAATTTCCACCTCTTGTCTTTTCCCGTTACCAATCACACAATTCATTTCATTTACCTGACTCACACACATATTCATTGACTCTCTCGCATATAGTTTTAAAATTCAATTAATCAATCATCAAAGAAAGAATACATAATTCACGAATCATGTGGACATATTACCATATACCGCCACCTTCCATCACGCACGCACACACACTCACATACGAACAAATATTCCTAAATATATTAATTCTAAGACCAAAACAAAAACTCTTCAGAAAAAACACAAAAGTACAAAAAATCTCAGAGAAACTCAGACTTCTCCTTCCCTCCCTCTCTCTCTCTCTTTCTTTCTTGGGGGGTTGGGTGAAAAAGAAGAAGAAAAAAAAATGGCGTCTCCGGCCAACTTACCCCACTACCTCACCTCCAAATTCAAGAAAACCAATTTATTCTACTTGGCCATGATCGCCGTTTTATGTTCTTTATGTTATATGATCGGAATTTGGCAGCACGGCGGTTTAAAAGTCTCCTCCGCCACCAACTCGGCCTCATCATCGTCATCGGTCGCCGGCGACGGATTTTCCGTTCCCGAACTGTCATGCAACTTGAGTGAAAACAACGCCGTATCAAACAGCGTTGGCCGGAAGCAGCAGCCATTGGCTTCCGTGACGCTTGACTTCGCCGCCCACCACAGCGCGGACGACCTCGTCGAGCTGCCGACGACGGAGGCGCGTGAGGATCAGTTCTCCCCATGCAAACCGGAGTTGTCCGAGTACACGCCGTGTGAAGACCAGAACCGGTCGCTGAAGTTCGACCGTGACATGCTGGTGTACCGGGAGAGGCATTGCCCGGAGAAGAGCGAGTTGCTCAAGTGCCGGATTCCGGCGCCGTACGGGTACAAGACGCCGTTCCGGTGGCCGGAGAGCCGGGACATGGTGTGGTACGCGAATGTGCCACATAAGCACCTGACGGTCGAGAAGGCGAACCAGAATTGGGTCCGGTTCGAAGGTGACCGGTTCACTTTCCCGGGCGGTGGGACCATGTTTCCACGTGGCGCTAAGGCCTACATTGATGACATCGGCAAGCTGATCAACCTCAAGGATGGATCTATCAGGACGGCCGTTGACACCGGTTGCGGGGTAACTCATTTATCCACTTTAATACTCATATATTTTTATTAACCCAAAAATTTATCCTTCTTAATTCTTATTAAATTACAGTCAAATTTGGTTTATTTGTACCGAAAATTCCATAAGCTACGTTGGAATTTATGCTTAACTGAGTAATTTGACACCTAATTTTGGAGTAAAATCACAATTAAGAGGAATTGATTGATTGGAGTGACTGAATGGATTAAATTAGGAATTCCTAATAGGATAATCACGTGGGACAGTCTGTGATCAGCCTAATCCGTAGGATAGAAACTAGAAATGATCATGAGTTATTTTTAAGCAAAGGCTAATAAATAATTTTATTGAGTTCGAATTTCAACTATCACAAAAGTACGATTGAAACTTGCGAGATGGAAAACCTGTTAGGCTACTTACTACATTGATTGATTTTGTTATTTTTTGAATCAAAACCAACGAATTTCTACATTGCTGTTTACTAATTAGTCCGGTAATTAATGTCATATTGTTTTACTCTAGATAATTCAATGGGTCATTTTCTTGGTCAAACTATGCGTTTAAGAAAATTAGAAATGATGCACAGCTGTAATATTAGAAATTTTTGGTATTCCACTTGGAGGTGATGTGAGAGGTCAAAGACTTTAATCTGAGTTTGTTGTTTGTTTCTAGGGGTTATGCGCATTGGATTTTGCCTAATATGGTATCTTGCTCAGCCGTCCATTACTGTTAAGCCACAGGATAATTAGAACATGTACATCATATCATAACCAAGGACGTTACAACTTGCCAATCTTTTATTTCTAAATTCGATTTTAACTCAATAAACTCACCAAAAAAAAGAAGAAAAAGGACCCTTATTTATTTTAGAACAGATGGAACATGTTACATGAACATTCTAGTTTTTTATTGATAAAATCCAGAAGAAGAAAACTAGAAAACTTGAAATTACACAATATCCTGATTATCATAAGGAGTTAGAGCTATTGAACTATAGAACATTGTTTTTTGTACTCTTTATGTAGGTTAGGTTAGGTGAAACGCAACAACTTCATTGAAAAATTTCCCTTGAATGGTTTAACTAATTGGTCACGGTCCAGTAGCTAGTTGGTGATGATTGTTTGACAAAAGTAGTTAGTTATTTCCTTTCATGTGAAGTTTTTGAACTGCCATGTCGTGGGACATCATGGAGGGGTATGGGAATCTTGCCACAAGAATTTGTGCCCATACATTAAATGAAGCCTGAAATTCCTTATTTACTTCTGATACACTGCAAGAATAAATGTAACAAGGGGGGAGGGAAAAGAAAAATTACGTAATCAACCGCAAGACCAATTCCGGTATATTCCCTCTTTTTCCTCCGTAACTATGGTAGCAATATAGGTGGAAAATGATAGTGTTTTGGTTGGCAAGTGGAAAGGCTGATAAAGTTTTGCCTCCAAATATTCCAATTTAGTTACTTTGGGTACCATTTCTAGTTGTGCATTGGGTTATGCTGTTCGTAGGCAACCACATGATACTACAACCTTTTGGTATAACCCTACTTGTAAGATTCATCATTGATCATTTGCCCCTGCAAAGTATACCATTATCTACATTTAGTGACATTACGCTGAACTCTCGACAATCAATGTGTGAACCAAAGGGATAAATGAATGCGTTTGTGATTGTTCATCTTGGGTAAGTGCTTCACAAAAGTGACACTTAAGTTCACGTGGCTGAAGAACTTTATTACCCTTGATTTCATCGGCTTGTTTGAGAATGCTCATTAGTAAAATTGACTACTCAATTGGTGTTTTCTAAAAATTTCTTTCTTCTCCTTGAGCGTTTATGGCCGAAAGAGGTTGTTTGATTTGTCTACTCCAATGTTCCAGGAACTGACAAAATTACCTTCAAAGGAGTTAAATATTAAACCTGCAAGTGCTATTTACAAATATGAACACTACATTTCCACTTTTAAGTCGATTGTGTTGTTAATCATGTGCTTGACTGTTGAGTTAGATGCTGATAATGGAGTCAGTTGGCTTCCTTCTTGGACTTTCTAGTATCTGATAGAAGTTGTTACATTTTATGCGATTTACTTTTTGAATGACAGTTTTCTCCCAATGTTTTGACATTGTGCTCAATTTGAATTTCAAACAATCTAAAATAATGTAAATGTTGCTATTCATCATAAGCCTAGAGAACATGCAAATTCCTTTTTCTTCGGAAAACATTTTTATAGAATTAAAAAGATGAAAATAGTAGCTAACTAATTTAAGAATTCCAAGCTGCACATTGTTGATTATTGCTTATGCTTTTCAGGTTGCCAGTTGGGGTGCATATCTATTCAATAGAAACATTATAAGCATATCGATTGCTCCTCGAGATAATAATCATGTAGCACAAGTTCAGTTTGCTCTTGAGCGCGGAGTTCCTGCATTGATTGGGGTATTAGCCTCCATTAGGCTACCATACCCTTCAAGAGCTTTTGATATGGCTCATTGTTCTAGATGCCTTATTCCATGGGGAAAATTCGGTAATCAAGCTTTTTCATTTCAATGATGCTTATTCTTAATGATGCCGAAAGGTTTGATAACAGAATTAAATGTTAATCGTTTTCATGTACCTTGAGCAGATGGGGTATACTTAACAGAAATTGATAGAATTTTACGTCCTGGAGGCTACTGGATTCTTTCTGGACCTCCTATAAACTGGGAAAATCGTTGGAAGGGATGGGAAAGAACACCTGAAGACTTGAAAGCGGAACAAGATGGAATTGAGGATGTTGCAAAAAGCTTATGCTGGAAGAAGGTGGCACAGAAGAATGATTTAGCCATTTGGCAGAAGCCAACAAATCATAAGCACTGCATTGTCAACAGGAAGGTGTTCAAGAAGCCCCAGTTCTGCAAAGCACAAGATCCGGACAGAGCATGGTAATGTTTTGAACTCTTGCATTCTGTTTCACACTTAAATGAAGGTTGATGTTGTTCATTTTAGCCTTTCTTTTCTGAACCTAAACTTTCGATACTGGAAGCCTAAAGACTTTTTACCCGACATTTCAGGTACACAAAAATGGAAACCTGCATCACTCCTCTCCCTGAAGTGTCCGACATTAAAGAAATAGCTGGAGGACCCCTAGCAAATTGGCCAGAGAGACTAACAGCCATTCCTCCAAGAATTGCGAGTGGAAGCTTAGAGGGTATCACCGTAGAGACCTTTGAAGCAGATACAAAGTTGTGGAAGAAGCGAGTCGCACATTACAAGGCCGTAGATTCTCAGTTAGGAGAGCAAGGAAGGTACAGAAACTTGCTTGACATGAATGCTCACTTGGGTGGATTTGCTGCGGCTTTGGTTAATGATCCAGTATGGGTAATGAATGTCGTTCCCGTGGAGGCGTCAGTGGATACCCTTGGAGTCATTTATGAACGTGGGTTAATCGGAACGTATCAGAACTGGTAAGCACTAATCAATCGAATGGCAAGCATGATTTCTTGAATGATTTTTTGAATAGCAGTTTTGCTTAGGACATCCTGTTAAGGTCACATAATCATTGCATTAGTGTTATAATATTAGCTGACAATTTTGCAATATTTTCAGGTGTGAAGCCATGTCTACTTACCCCAGAACCTACGATTTCATTCATGCTGACTCAGTTTTTAGCCTCTACGATGGCAGGTAAGAATTCCGTTCTCGTTCTTGATAAAACCAAACATGATTATCAAAATGATGGATTGCTGAATTTATTGGACATTTATGTGTAACAGGTGTGAAATAGAAGACATCCTATTAGAAATGGACAGGATCTTACGGCCACAAGGTAGCATTATAATCCGAGATGATGTCGATGTATTGGTAAACGTTAAAGCCGTCGTAGACAGACTTCAATGGCAATCCAGAATGGCAGACCATGAAGATGGTCCTCATGTGAGGGAAAAGCTTCTAGTTGCGGTTAAGGAGTATTGGACATCCCCTGCAACCAGTGAAGGTCAATGATGGCTCTGGTCAGCTCAATATATGTGTACACTCTGCATGTTCTTTGATTACACTAATTTACACTCTCTTAAAATCTTTCATTTCCTTCCTTTTTTGCTGTTCTTCTGTTGATAATTCTTTCCATTTTTTTTTTCCCCTTTTTCTGGACATGCCTCTTGGTCGAGCATCAGTTTTGAGTTGTATACTGAACAAGAGGATTATCCTTCTTCTCTCATTAAGCTTACTTTGTAACTTTGACACTTGGAAAAAAAAAAAATGAGCTTCACATTTTCACATTGGAATATATAAATTACAAATTCCAGAATCTTTTCTTATGAGCGGTTCGAGTATCCTGTAACATTTCGGTGTATTTTCAAGGATAAGATTTTACCATCAAAGATGAACTCTTCTTTTGTTACTAATCCACTTCTTTTTTTCCCCCGAAATATTAAGCTTAATTTTTGTAGCCTAGCCTACGTTTTCCAAGAAACAGAATACACGTGAATACCAGAATGAATGACTTACACATGACATTTGTCACGCAAAAAAGTGGACATCTTTGCCGTCACGAACTAATGAAAATGGACGTATCCTACCGGTTTACGGTTGGCAATTTGAATCATTCATCGTGCTTCCCCTCTTTAACATTAATTGGATAAAGAACAAAGTAGTTGTTCTGTAGATATTCTCTAACATTACAATCAGTCTCACAAAACCAAGAAACTATGTCAACTTACTCCGAACTTGATCAACACATTCAAGATTTGAAGGAGTTTGATGACAAAAAAACAGGAGTTAAAGGGCTTGTAGATTCAGGAATCGCAAAGGTCCCAAAGATTTTCATTTGCCCACCTGAAAATCATCATCAAACCATTAATCCCATTAATGGCGGTACTCGCAGCTTGAAAATGCCCATTATAAGTCTCGATGGCTTTGATCAGAAGGGTGATGGTGGAAGAAGGGCTGAAATCGTTGGCGAAATTCGCCGGGCGATGGAGACGTGGGGTTTCTTCCAACTGGTGAACCATGGAGTTCCGACAGCCGTATTGGCGGACCTGTTGAGAAGTACAAAAGAATTCCACCAACAACCGGATGAAATTAAGACGGAATACTATTCCAGGGATCATACCCGGAAAGTCAGATGTTATTCCACTGGAGATCTGTATCAAACCAAAACTGCTCAGTGGAAAGACACTCTTTCTTTTGAGTTTGATGATTACCTCAACATGGACTTAGAAAGCTTGTCTCAGATTTGCAGGTAAAGTATCTACGTTTTTCTGGTATATTATGCACCCAATATCTAAAACCATTATTTTCGAGCGAAACCAGGATACAACCGAAGTGTTAAAAGTGTACATTTGACTTAAAATGGTTTTGCAGGAAGGAGATTGGTGCCTACATCAAGTGCCTGAATGAGCTGAAAAACGTGTTGTCGGAGTTGATATCGGAAGCATTAGGGCTTGAAAGTGAGCATCTTGCGAGTTTGGGATGCTTAGAAGTCAGGAGGCTAGTGTGCCATTATTATCCACCTTGTCCTGAGCCAGAGTTGACCATGGGTATCATGAAGCACTCTGACCTATACTTCCTTACCATCCTCTTTCAAGACCAAATTGGCGGTTTTCAGGTTTTTCATGACAGTCGATGGCTAGATGTACCTCCCCTTGAAGGGTCGCTTTTGATCAACGCTGGAGATATGTTACAGGTGCAAAAATGAGTTAATTTATTCCGCTTGAATTTCAATAATATAATGTGTTTTAGTTCACCAAAAATTGTTTTGGAAATGATGAAATTAGCTTATCACGAATGGGAAATTCAAAAGCGTGGAGCACAGAGTTATTGCGGGAAGAGTTGGACCTAGGATTTCAGCAGCATGCTTTCTGTATCCAAGTAGCAAGAACCAAAGTAAGCCATATGGTCCGCTGAAGGAGTTGGTTTCAGCCGACAATCCTCCAAGGTACAGGGAAACAAGCTATTTAGAGTACCTTCAGTACTATGCCTCGAGAGGTCTCGGAGTTGACAAGGCCCTTCCTCATTTCCAGATCACAAATTAAATGGAAGATCAGAATCTAGATGATTGAACTTTCAGATTCACGTGTATTATTTTGGTTATGCAAAAACATTGATATAGTGTCATTTATTATGTTGATACTGATTATTTGAATTCAAGTTGATAGTATATATTAAATCAATTACAAAAACAATAATGATATGATAAGAATATCATGTTTTACTCTTTTTAATTTATATATATATATAGACATATATGTTACGAACTCGATGTTCGAAATCATTGTTTCAACCAGTCCGGATTCAAGTCAGATAGGACTCTCTCAGAAAGTGAAGTTTTCCCAACAAGTATTTTAGTTACTGCTACGTATTTATATTCGAGTTTGATCTCGGGTCATAATTAAATTGGTCTAATATCTTTATCACTTGAGCCAATTGCTTGTTGGTTGTTTGTTTTATTACACTACTAACTTGTTTCGCTTTTAGAGAAAGGATATTTTCCAATCTTTGTCATGCTTTGAAATTGTCGAAAATTCGATGAGATAGTAGACGATCGAGTAGTCCCGAAGCATTTTAAGTTGCGGACTTTTCTTTTGGTCGACGTTACAAAGTCGACGCGACGGTGGCTTTTCACTTTTTCTGGCCCCTTCAGCTTCCCCGTCAACATTATCAACTCCACGAAAAAGTGAACACAATGGCGCGAGTGTTTAGTTTTTTTGACTTTTTCACCATTGACTTGCAAATGGACGCCAATCTTTTAATATGTTCCCTGGTTTCGAATTTCCTATCTGAATAAATAATACTCCCTCCTGTCCTTATTATAAGGTATTTTGACTTTTTCTAGATTTCAACTAACATATATTTTTAATTGACAAAAAAAAATCTTAAAAATATTTCATGACAATCAGGAGAACACAAGGAATGCAAAAATATATTTTTAAAATTTTTTTGTTAATTAAAAATTTATGGTAGGTGAAATCTAAGACAAATTAAAATGCCTTATATTAAGAACTAGAGTGAGTATATAACTGATATAATATTCTTCTCATTTCAAATATTCTATTTGCCCTAAAATTATTGTCTAGTATGGATTTTCATTTTTAGTTCAAATTGAACTAAAAGTGAAATCTCAAAATAATATTATGGGACGGGGGAGTATTAGTTCTTTTAGTAACTCTAAAAAGATATTTCTTCATGAAATGGCTATTTGTGCCGTTTCTTTTCTTTTATTTTATTTATTTAACTAATCATTTTCACTTTTGAGTGAACGGTAAAAATGGTTTGCTTGTTTTCACTTTGTGTCTGTTTTAGTTCCATTATTAAAACATCTCTAAAAGATAAAGCCCAAGGAGGCAAGGAACTAAAATCCGGACAAAATGGTAGGAACCTAATTGACTGTTAACAATAATGGTAGGAACCTAATCCGGACAAGGGCAATTTCGTTCCACAAAAAATTAAAAAAGAACTCACCAAAAAAAAAAAAAAAAAACTTCAAGTTTCCTAAAAATTACACAAGGGGTTTTTTCACCCTTTTCATTCCGTATTTTTTGTCTGCAAACCACCAAAACTCTTCCATTTCTTTCAAAAGCAATAGGTCATTCAATTAAGTTAATTAAGCAAACAAGATAGAAAATCCTAGATCTTATCTTTTTCGTTCGTTTTTGTTCAATTCAATGGCCGATATTCATTAGCAAAATAATGCAGTGGAGAAAGTCAAGCAAAATAATGCAGTGGAGAGAGTCGATGACTATTTTGACACAATTAAAACTATTGACATTAGTTGCCCACTCATGACAATAACTGAAAAAAAAAAAAAAAAAGAAATTGTTTTATCCTACAACTCACATTCTTTACTATGGATCTCTTTTAGTCATAAATGCGTATGAAACGCAAGGATTAATTAGAAGTGTCTTACATCTTATTGTGGCTATAAGAGAGAGATCGAAAGGTTATGATGGTGACGGAAAAAAATATATCCTTCATAATTAATTTGTTCACTTTTTTGTATTGGAAAAGGCAACGCACTTGAATAGCTAAAATTAAGTTAGAATTCTCCTAGATTTAATTCACCGTGAGTTAAGAAATATTATAAAAGAGTTTAATCTTATTATTCTGCGACAATACGATAAACTTGTTCTACGACTTTCATAAACATATCAAAAGTCAATTAAAACCCTCATTTAATGTAACCTTTATTTTTCTTTTTCAGAAACAAAAATATACAGTATTCACCCTTTCTCGAAATGGTTATCCAGTTTCAAAATTATCACTTTCAAATTTTAGCAGTTACAGTAAAACTTCTATAAATTAATAGTGTTGCGATCACCAAAATATATTAGTTTAGAGAATTATTAAATAATAATTAATAAATTAATAAATTATATATCTAAAAAATTTCTTTAAGAAAAAAAAAGAATCGTCACTAAATTACTTAATTAGCAATCGTGTCTTTACATCCGACTCATTCAAATATTGGAATTTTTCTGAATATAAAAAATCCATATATAAAACATATCATCTCCGGTGACTAAAAAATAAGTATCAATAGTTCAAATTTTACTAATTTTTTATATTTATTATTATTAATTTTTTACATTTCCGGTATTTGTTAATTTATGATATTATTGGAATCTATAGATATATAGGAAATTTTTTGAAACATTATTATTTTATGATTTTATCAAATTTTTTTCACTTTTTATACTTATCCCAAGTTGAGACCAAAGATAATTAGAAATTATTAATTTACCGACGTTTTAATGTGTCTCCTAAAAGAAAAAAAAACTGGATAATAATTTGAAATAGAATGAGTATATATATTTTTAAGGGCTCCCGGCTCCCGGCTCTCTTGAATCTTGACTATTTTGATTGTGCCTCACTGCTGCGGTGATATGAAATTATCGAAATTTGTATTTAACGGCCAAAACTTGACAAAAGTTAGTCAGACATAACATTGAAACACCCCCGCTTTTGATTAATTTATGCGTCATTTATAGAATTTGCTTAGCGAGGGTTCCGATACAGACACAGCGTAGAAGTTTGGGTGCCTTATAAAGAATTTACTCTCCATTATAAAGTTATTTCGATAATTTCAAATTATGTTCGATGACTTTTTGCACAATCACTTAGTGTTTATATACGTAACAATTGAGAAGAAATTGTGAAGAAAATAAGAATATAAACATAATGTCGCCGGGAGCTAAAACATGACTCTTTTTAGCTAGCGTAAGTTAATAAAAACAGTTTTGAATTATACATTTTCAAATGTTAAGTTTTTGAATTTAAATAGAGAAACAAAAAATAATAATTGGTGCAAGGACGTGTTACGGCCTTATGGCGGCAGTAGAGTAAAACTAATAAAACATTGTTTTTTGCCGACATTGTCGTCAGACATTGAAAAGTTTGATGAGAGCCTCGACGAGAAGTAGCATTGGATTTTTGAATTTCTTTAGTCAAATCCAAAAGTCGATGAGGTGGTATTTTTCGCTTTCGTCGACTTTACCGTCGACATTAAAAAGTCGACGGATGTTCTTAAATGTTTGTTCTTAACCATTAACTGGCAATTCAACTCCAATGTCAATCATTTTTCCTCATTCTATATTCTTATGGAGAACTTTATTACCACTTAACTTTCTCATCTGTAACATTAGTTTGTTAGTTAATTTGAAAACTGGCGTACCATGAATAATCATTTTTTGTCGTCATCCAACTTTTTAAGTTTATTGGGGATGATGACACTCGCAGAATCTCCAAACTAATAACCCCAAGCATTTGGATCATATCTATTCGGGATTTGCCATGTTCTGATGAACAATCCTGTAAAGACTAACAACGTTCTCAACCCTTGACAATTCCCAGACAATTATTAAGAAATCGATGCCCGGCAACTTCACAAGATATACATATATATATATATACATATATATATATATATATATATATACGGCCAGAGTTAATTTTGAAAGTACTTTGGGTTTTTTTTTTAATCTCGATACTACTAGGTAATGAGTAAAGTTAACCACGGAGGGTCTATCTATTCCATGCCAAATCATTACTTTCTGGTCAATATGTCAATATCATGGAAGCTGCCTCCGAGTCCGAATCCAAGAACTTTTCTTGTGTCTTTGTCCAACTTGGCTGGGTGGCCGGGGCCTCCTCAATCCCAACAGCAAACGGCACCCCAAAAAGTCAACTCTAAGATGAGTGATGACTGGTGATCGAGTCTGGATATTTTTATTAATTACACCATTTTATTTGTACCAAATTATTACTATTATTTTTGGTTTGCCAGGTTAGTTTTCATTTGGAGAGCATTAAAAATAGACTTCTTCCGGAATAAATGACGAAATATTGACAATGTAAGGGGCGCTAATTTAATTATAGCATTCGGCATGGAATTCACATTAAAAAAAAATTAGCTATTGAATCATTCATTCATCATGGTGCTTGTCCTTTTACCGTTGAATAAAACGCAGTCAAATCTGTAGCCTTTAAATAATAGTAATAAGGTTTGCAGATACACATGTTCTATATAAATATCCTCTAATTACTGAAGAGAGGAGCATCAAACAGCCGAAGAAAACAAGAAAACCCATAAATCAACTCCCTCAGAAATGGATCAACACATTCAAGATCTAAAGGAGTTTGACGACCAAAAAACAGGAGTTAAAGGGCTTGTAGATTCAGGAATCGCAAAAATCCCAAAGATTTTCATTTGCCCACCCAAAAACCATCACCAAACCATTAATCCCATTGATGGCATGATCAAAAGTCCTTTGAAACTGCCTATCATAAATCTTGATGGCTTTGATCAGAAGGGTGATGGTGGAAGAAGGGCTGAAATCGTCGACGAGATTCGCCGGGCGATGGAGACGTGGGGTTTCTTCCAACTGGTGAACCATGGAGTTCCGGCAGCCGTATTGGCGGACCTGTTGAGAAGTACAAAGGAATTCCAGGAGCAACCTCAAGAAGAGAAGATGGAATACTATTCCAGGGATCATACCCGGAAAGTCAAATATTATTCCACTGGAGATCTATATCTAACCAAAACTGCTCAATGGAAAGACACTCTTTCCTTTGATTTTGAAGACACCACCAAAATGGAGCTGGAAAGCTTGCCCCAGATCTGCCGGTACGTGCTTCTTTTTTTATTATAAATTTGGTGTTAAATTTTCCATAACTATTATGAAAGTTCATAATCAAAGTCAAATCAGATACAAATTCCAAGAGTTACATAATTGTATCAGTTCTTTTTCTAAAAAAAAACCTTTACACGCAACTTGTGGTAGATTAATTTAAGGGTTTGTATTATTGATATCGATCACAAAATCTTCTAAGCTCTTCCATGCGTTAACGTCAAGATTATTTTTTGTTTGGTTGACCTTGACTTTGTCCTTGTTTTATTTTAAAATATTTAGACATATGAAAGGTTTTTTTTTTTTTTTTTATGAAAAGGTAAACAGAGGAAAGTTGATCAAGAAGATTACACCTATATATGTTTTGGTGCATGCGCCAAAGTATGAATATAATTCAGGCGATGGTAACAATTGCCCTCCCTGTCTATACGCTGTTGACTAATAAATATATACGGTTATTGTTAGTAAGTAAACTTAATTTGGTCCAATTAATATTAGGTTATCCAAATTATTAACTTGGACCATGAATCTTTATGTTTAAACCTAAGCCCAAGTCCAATAAAGAATTGTCTAAATAAGAAGATATCTAAAAGTAGAAAGTTCTAAAAATGTTCTACATAAATATCAAGAGTATGTAGAATAATTCATGGAAAATATCTAGAAAAAATATCTAGATATTAGTAAGGAAAAGTCTAGATATTAGAATAAAATATGTAGATATTTAGAAGGAGTAGAAAAATCTTGAAAGAGTGTAGAACCTTCTATGCACTCCTATAAATAGGAGTTAACCCCTTAATGTAAGTGTGTGTAGAGAAGTTGTAAGAAACATTAAGCTAAAAGCTTAACACATTCCACTTTGTTTTCTTCTACTACAAAGTAGTAAAGTTCCCTTTCTCCCAAAATTTCCTTCTCTTCCATTTCCACTTCATTCACCCATCACCTAAAAGGTGTATTTCTTATAACCCAAAGGATTCTTTTGCTAACAGTTATCTCATCATATATACAATTATGTAGTTTGACTAATAAAGGATTTTCATTTGATTCCATTAGGATGACCATAATGTGTATAAAATCGAAATTTTCAAGTTTATGTATTCTGAACGGTAATAATAATTAATTACTTATAAAATTAGGATACAACGAGGACCTAGGTATTAATTCCTTCTTTTGGGTGTGTGTTTTTGGGGCTGGCCTTTTACTGGTTTGCAGGGAAGAAATTGGAGTCTACATTAATAGCTTGAACGACCTGAAAAATGTGTTGTCGGAATTGATATCGGAAGCTCTAGGGCTGGGAAGTGATCATCTTGAAAGTTTGGAATGCTTAAAAATTCGGAGGCTGTTATGCCACTACTATCCACCTTGTCCGGAGCCGGACTTGACCATGGGTATCTTGAAGCACTCAGATCCATACTTCCTCACCATTCTCTTGCAAGACCACATTCCTGGTTTCCAGGTTTTTCATGACAACCAATGGTTAGATGTACCTCCTTTAGAAGGGTCGCTCTTAATCAACGGTGGAGATATGTTACAGGTACCAAAATAAATCAAATATCTCGTTTGAATTATAACGTGTTTTTTGTTTCGTTTAAACTTTTTTTTGTGTTTGAGTAATAATTGATTTTGGAAATGTTGAAATTAGCTTATCACGAATGGAAAATTCAAAAGCGTGGAACACAGAGTAATTGCGGGAAGAGTTGGACCAAGAATTTCAGCAGCATGCTTTCTGTATCCAAATGGAAAGAACCAAATCAAGCCATATGGTCCGCTGAAGGAGCTGGTTTCCGCAGACAATCCTCCAAAGTATAGGGAGACAAGTTTCTCAGAGTACGTTCAGTACTATGCTTCCAGAGGTCTTGGAGCTGCCAAGGCCCTTGACCATCATTTCCAATTCACAAATAAAACCAACGGAAAATAGAGAGCATATGGAAACATGGATCAATAGAACACAGCATGTTTCAAATTTAGAAGGCCATTGGCTCTTCACTTCTTGTGTCTTACATTTTTGTGTCATTGTGTGTGTGTTTGTTTGTACGTAAGTGTGTCGTTTAGATTATAATTAGTGTCTTCTATTGCAAACTATTATGCTCATTGTTGGAACCTTTTTTCATATGTACCGAAGTTTGAAAAGTATAAACAGAGACTTGTAGAAAAGATCTTTATTGATTTCCTTATCGAAGACGAAAATTGAAGAGAGATCTAGATAACCCAAAAGATCTTCCAATTTTATTTTATTTTATTTTTTAAACTTATTTATGCGGTGGATAATAAACTTACCATGCATGATTGGCAAAGTCAAATCAAAATGATATGTATATGGTATTATTTGAGTTGACGTTGAGTATTTTTTTTAATCATGAGACATTGACACATGGCGTCCAAATATCCACCTATTTAATGCTTGCAAGGCAGCCATACATAATGATTAATACTCCCTCCGTCCCATAATTTTTGTCCAGTTTGGATTTTCATTTTTAGTTCAAATTATACTAAAAATATAATAAAATATTTTTAAAATTCGTCCAACTTGAAATCATTCATTCTCACGACTTTGACCGAAGACCATGGGTACCGCCCCTGAGAAATCAGAGCAAGAATTGTTGAAAGAGTTGACTGAGTTCGATGAAACTAAGGTCGGAGTCAAAGGCCTTGTCGATTCCGGCATCGCAAAAATCCCAAACATTTTCGTTTTTCCAAAGCGAAATCAAGAAAGCCGCAACAACAACAAAAGCAGCAATGTTAATGACCCGTGTCAGCTTCCGATCATAGATTTTGATGGCATTGAGAAGAACAGGCAAAGCAGGAGAGAAACTGTTGAACAAATACGCCAGGCAATGGAGAAATGGGGATTCTTCCAGATGGTTAATCACGGAGTTCCTGTAAATTCACTAAACGGGTTGCTGAGAAGCATCAAGGAGTTTCACGAACAACCTGAGGAAGTGAGGAAAGGATATTATTCCAGGGATCATACCAAGAAAATCAAGTATTACACCACCGGTGATATGTATCAGACTAAAGCTGCCCAATGGAGAGATACTCTGTCTTTGGATTTCGATGACTCCGACAATTTGGATCTCCACAGCTTGCCTGAACTTTGCAGGTTTGACTGACATGATTTCAATTCTAGTAAATAAATTTCATTATTTGAATGTCGAAATCATGATAGAAATTAGAAAGGGTGTTTAATGAATGGTGAAAAATTGAGTGCAGAGATGGAATTGAAGAGTACATATACTGCTTGACTGGAGTGAGAAACCAGCTATCGGAATTGTTGTCCGAAGCACTTGGATTGGAGAAAGACCATCTGGGAAACATGGAATGCTTTGAAATCCGACGACTTCTTTGCCATTATTATCCACCTTGCCCTGAACCCGACTTGACGTTGGGTATCATGAAGCATTCCGACCCGTATTATCTCACAATCCTCTTGCAAGATTCCATTGGCGGGTTCCAGGTTTTCCATAAGAATCAATGGCTGGATGTACCGCCCATCGAAGGTTCCCTGCTCGTCAACGCCGGAGATTTGTTGCAGGTCAAGAAAAGAGTCTTGTTCGTTATTATTGCTCTAGTTCAACAATATCATTTATATTGTTTTGTTTTTTTTTCTGAGGCGGAAAGAGTAACGTGCATTAGCATTATTTGTTTATTGATTTTCTTGAAATTTTTTGTGCAGCTTGTAACTAATGACAAATTCAAAAGCGTTGAACACAGAGTGATAGCAGGGAGAACTGGTCCGAGGATTTCTGCAGCATGCTTTATGTACCCAGATGTTGATAATCAATTCAAACCATTTGGACCGATTAAGGAGCTTTTATCGGAGACAAATCCAGCAAAGTATAGAGAAACCAGCATCATAGATTATCTGCGTTATTATGCTGGTAAAGGTCTGGACGGTGTCAAATCTCTGCCCCATTTCCAGTTGATTCCAGCAGAAAAGTAGTACGGTAGATGTTAAAAGTGAAAGATTTGCATTCGTACGTTACAAACATGTATACAAAGAAGTTAATTTTCTTTTATAGCTAATTACTTTGACACCAGTATGCTTGTCACTCGTAGAGAAATGCACGATAAAATCGAGTTGCTTAACCTAGAAATGTAATACTAATTCAGTAATTTATGCTTAGGTTTTTGTACAAAGACAATGATAATGTCATGTGTGGCTTGAATTTGTGGTCCAACTTGAATTGCTTTATTTTACAACCTAGGCTTGTGTGGTGATCATTGAGATTTACACACACAAGAAAAAAGAAGAAGAATTATCGACTCCAATTTGTTTTTGTGTTTTTTTCCGGGGGAAAAGAAAAAGAACATAACTATATAATTAACTCCCTCAATGTCATGATTTAACCACTAAACAATTTCTGATGACGGTAAACCTAAATGGATCAGGTTCCGTATTCGTTACGAGTAGCTAGAATATCGACTACAAACTTGCACTCTCTACTTGCATGACTAAGGTCAATGACCCGATCTCTTGACAAAAATTCTCTTTATCGCCCGGATAAATCCCTTCATGCGCGCACGGATTACCGACTCGAGTTTGTAAATTGTTTAATTCAGCTGGAAAAAAGAAAAAAAAAAAAAAAGTCTTATAAGTTTCGAACGGAAAAGGAGTGTTTACAGTTGCAAACAAGACGACTACTTTAGAGTCTACACAAAGAAAAGTTAAAAACAACACAAGGGCCACTTCTCTTATGAACTGGGCCTTAAAGCCTAAATTCCGCACGAAGCCTTTTAGCCCAAGTCCAGCTGTATGAACTAAACATAAGAACGACGCCGTAACAGTTCGAACTTGGAACTCTTTACCTTCTTAAACCCTTTGTTTGTTTCCTCTTACACTCCCCCGGTTATCAGTATCAAGCAAGAAGAAATTGGAGAACCGACGATCGGAAAATAAAATTAAAAAAAAAAAACCCTAGATTCAAGTAGGAGTCACTCAATTTCGCAACAATGGAGGCTGAAGATGACTCTTCCGGACAGATGATGGTCGAGGGTGAGATCTATTCTAACGGAGAAGGTCTTGAAACTGAGCAGCGTCCCCGGCCGATCATTAACGGCGAACAGCTGGACATCGAGGCTTACGCTTCGTTATACACCGGCCGGACGAAAATTGTGAGGCTTTTGTTCATCGCGGAGCGGTGCGGCAACGTTTCGATGCAGTTGGAAGCTTTAAGAATGGCTTACGATGAGCTAAAGAAGGGCGAGAACACTGATCTCTACAGACAAGTTGTTCAGAAGATTGACGGTCGTTTGGGGCCTAATTACGGGATGGACACAGCGTGGGCTGATGCTGTCGACCGTCGGGCTGAGCAGAGGAAGGAGAAGCTTGAGAACGAACTCAATGCTTATAGGGTTTGTGCTTTCCCTAAGCTTTTTTGTCCGTGAATATTTATTTTGCACTCTCTAGTGGTATGTTTTCTAGTGTATCCTGCCTTTGTGTTTGTATGTGTGTTTATGAGTGGTTATTTTATGTCTGTGTACTTCTGAGAGTATTGTGTAGTTGAATACAGTTGAGCAATGCTTCTATGGTAATGTTGATGCTTTTGAAATCTTGAGATAGGCGAGCAGAACTTCTTTTGCTTTCTAATCCTGCCTATTGTCTAATTTGAGTCCTGTTTCTTCTTGTGCAGACTAATTTGATAAAAGAGAGTATTAGGATGGGGTACAATGATTTTGGTGATTTTTACTACGCGCATGGTGCACTTCCCGAAGCATTTAAGAATTATGTTCGGACTCGTGACTATTGCACAACTGCAAAACATATTGTTCATATGTGTTTGAATGCAATTTTGGTTAGTATTGAGATGGGGCAGTTCACTCATGTAACTAGTTATGTCAATAAAGCCGAGTCGAACTCAGAAGCTGTTGATTCTATCACGGGTGCAAAGCTGAAGTGTGCCGCTGCGCTAGCTCACCTGGAGGGTAAAAAGTATAAGCTTGCTGCTCGCAAGGTTCGTGTTGTGTTTCTCATGACGATCTTTTGTTTGTCTTTTTGTTCCTAAATATATTTCTAGCCGTTTTGGTTCAGTGAGTTGAATAGAGAAATTTTGGCTCCTGTAATCTTTATTCCTTGTTGTGCGACTTAAAGCTTGTGATTGCATAGGGTTGCTTTTTCATTTCCTACTTTGTTGTTTTATATGTACAAGTTTCATATCCCTCGGGTAAATCTGATAATTTTATCATTAATATGGCTTATGGTTCATGCAAGGCTTTTTGGTCATTATCCTTGCTCCACGTAGTTGGTTGTTGTTATTTGTCTCTTTCAGGTGGCCTTAAATTCCGCTGTACCACTGATTCCGTCGTAGATATTCAAAGACACCTTTATGGCTATCTTTCTAGATGCAGACTGATAGTTTAAAGAGAAGTATTCTGGCTTTGTTTTTCATTTAGTCATATCCCATAAAATCTAATAAAATGAAGGGTCGCAAAAGAAGGAAGGATTTATGGTTATAACTTATAATATATCATGGACAGTATCTGCTCTTCATGAGCCGTGGGCTAGAGCTTAAGCTTTCTTCTTTGCCTAAAGCTGAATTTCGGTGAACTTGTTTATGATTTATAGTTAGGAATCCTGTGAAGTAAACATTGTTCCATTATGTCTTTTAGACTGAATAAGTTCCCTGTGTTGAATTTTTGCTTTTAATCATTCTGTTTGCTTTTGATTTGTAGTTTCTAGAAGTTGTTCCTGAATTGGGCAACAGCTACACAGAAGTAATAGCACCACAGGATGTTGCAACATATGGTGGATTGTGTGCACTTGCAAGCTTTGACCGAACAGAACTGAAGGTACACTAGCACCCTCTCTCTGATACACTTTTTTGGCTGTCCTCCTTAAATTGGTTTTGTTATTTCTGATCCAATCTTTTTGGTTTTGCAGAGCAAAGTTATTGATAACATTAACTTTAGGAATTTCTTGGAGTTGGTGCCAGAAGTAAGAGAGCTAATTCAAGATTTCTATACCAGGTAGGTTGGCAATTCCCATTTGTAGCATGTGTTCAAATGTAGTTCCTGGTTTTCTCCTGAATGAAATAGAATAACCATTACAGCAGAGAAGCTAGAGATGTGACATTCAGCACTAAATATGTTATTGATGGTTCTTCATGTCTAGAATCTAGTTTTGGTTGCATGTGCTGTTTAGTTTGTCATGCTGACGTTTCCTCGAAACTCTCATTGGCTTCGACTTTAATTTAAGTTTCTCTTTATTTCAACCAAGAAGTAATAATTCCGCTAATAAAAGATTGTAATAAGTTTATGCTCTAATCAGTTTAAGAGCATGGAAAACCAAATTAAATTTTGCTTCATTTCTATGAATATCTTTGACCATTATGTTAATATCTGCGTGTTCTACATGCAAGAGGGGACTTTATAGAGATTGCCTTTCATTATTGACACGTGAACATGAATAAGTGCTTGATAGTAAAAAAGGAATTGGGCAGTTGTCACGTGTCTTTTAGAAATGTTGTTTTTGTTGTTACCCGCTGGCAAGCTTTTCATGTAGTTAGTTCTTTGGAAGGTTGTTGCCTTAATGTTAAGACTGTTAAATGTATGTAAATGTCTCTCTTATTCTATCTGCCTTTGTTTGGTAATACGCGAAGCATGTAAGATGATGCTTTTCAAATTGATTTATTCTCTTCTAATTGAAAAGGTGATTCTGTGAACTCTAGCACGATAGTAGCTTATGATTTGAATTTTCCTGGTCATAGATTTTTTGTTTTCCTTGCAATGAGAAGCATGACTGATTTTTTTATTGCTCATTTAGAATATAGATATTTTTAGTTAATGCAGTGATTGTAGTTGTTTTTAAAACGTGTTGGCACTTAACAAGAACTGTTTATGTGCTGCAGCCGGTATGCTTCCTGCCTGGAGTATCTAGGAAATCTGAAAAACAACTTGTTGCTTGACATTCATTTGCATGACCATGTGGAGACATTGTATGGGCAAATCCGCAACAAAGCCCTGATTCAGTACACTCACCCATTTGTCTCTGTTGATCTGCAAATGATGGCAAATGCTTTTAAGACTAGCATTTCCGGATTGGAGAAAGAACTTGAAGCTTTAATAACTGATAACCAAATACAGGTATCTGCATTATTTTCTAACTGGCTATGTCGCCAGTGGCCACAATTTTCGTGTATTCTCTTTTATGTCCTGAAGATGTTGATATGGGGGATCAAAGGTTGTGATATCATTCTAATATAATAACCACTAATTTATTTCTGCAGGCACGGATTGACTCCCACAACAAAATTCTTTATGCTCGCCATGCTGATCAGAGGAACGCAACCTTCCAGAGGGTATTGCAGACAGGTGATGAATTTAATCGGGATGTCAAAGCCATGTTGTTGAGAGCAAGTCTTGTTAAGCACGATCATGCCGCCAGGTTAGCAAGGAGACATTAGATACAGGGATGTACCGATGATCAGCTGCAACCTTAAAATTCATTATCTTGGAAAGGAGAGGCTGAGGAATTTGTTTAAGCATTGTTAAACTTCCGAAAGAGACAGATATCCATTTGGCTTTTTGGGGTGTTGATTCCCGTGATGGAAATGGTCAATTAGTTCTATTAAGCATTTGTTGTTAATCCCTGTTAATATTGACAAATTTGCTACCCCAGTTTACAAGCATTTCGGTACATAATGCTGTTATCGGTCTTCTTCCTTTCGTCTGAAATTGTCGCTTATGTTTGGTACAGAAGTGATGCATATTAGTATGCCAATATTCTCCCGCTGATATAGAAATCGGATTGGGTTAAATTATGAAAGTGGCTGGTTAACCAAATTCACCATGAAAATGCTATACCACCGACATGAATACATATAACATGTTGTGTCCCAAAATGCAACATTAATAAGGAAAATTATTTTGAAACGGACGGGCGTAGAGATTAAGGACAAGTATTCGTGAGACAACATGAAATCACAACACAAATTAGGTATACAACGAATGGAAAGAGTCACAATATTTAAACTTCCTTAGTTGGGGTATTTCAACACAAAGGTTAACCCCCCTTAATTGGACAAGGAAAATACAGGGTATTTCAACACAAAGGTTAAGCTCCAATTATTCAACACAAAGGTTAGCCCCTTAACTGGACAAGGAAACTATAATTTATTTGAATTGATAATACCATTTGATTTTGACTCTATCTTTACTCGGAACGTGTAATAATTTTTACCGCCTATATAAAATTTTATATCTTCCCCCAATTTTCACCCTTTTTCCACCGACCGGACTCACTTAAAAAAATTCCAATTTGACACCATAACTGTGTGTGGATGCCTCGAGTGAGTGAAGAAGATTAACCAACACAAACCCACCACGATACTTAGATCCTCGATCACACAACGGCTCATGAGTTTTCTATGATTGGATCTTGAATAAAAACGATATGGGTCATCTGAATCTCCCCTCCTCAAAGCGCAACAACAACGCTCGGCAATGGCGTTTGCTGGACATAGTCACTGCCATTTTCTTCGGGGCGGTTCTGATTTTTTTCCTTCTTGTGTTTACCCCATTGGGCGATTCCATGGCTGCGTCTGGGCGGCAGACGTTGCTCCGTACCTCCATGGGTGCGGCCGATCCGCAGCAAAGGGCCCGGCTTGTTGGCCTGATTGAGGCCACCGGCAATCCCGCCATTGATGGTTGCCCAGCGGAAATGGTGGATCATATGCCCTGTGAAGATCCCAGGATCAATAGCCAGCTTAGTAGAGATATGAATTTCTACAGGGAGAGGCATTGCCCTGCTCCTGAGGAAACTCCCCTTTGCTTGATTCCTCCTCCCAAAGACTACCGCGTCTCCGTTCAGTGGCCCGAGAGTTTGAACAAGGTAGTACTTCCCATAGATTCTGTTTTTTGGGTTTTTTGGAAGTTTTTGTTGGTTACTTGTATTTGGGCTGCATTGTTTAGTTGTCTTGCCAAGCTTTTTTTGGTGAATTGGAACACTGTTAATTTGCAGTTTTCTTGTTAGTTTAAGTTTTGGTTTTCAAGTCGAGCCAATGCTACTGATGGGTTACTTAGAATTTGAGGGATTTGATTTGATCCAGTTGTTTTTATCATCTAGTTATCCATTTAGCGAGCATTGAACTTTCTAATCTGGAATTTGTTGCTCTTTCTCCTGGAGCCAATGTTGCTTCACTCCTGTTTTCTGTGATCAGAAAGATTGAACTTCTGTGTACTCACTTCGAGAGGTGTTTTTTCTTTCATCGAATTCTATTTTTAGGTTTGCAGCTAAGTGGCTGAAGGATTATTGATCTTTGCTTTATCTTTTACATTGAACTTCGTTTATCCAAATCAGTTATCTTCTCTTCTGTAGTACTTACTAGCTCCACTAAAAAAATCTGTTATGATATGCTTGTCTGAGAATGTGTTTGCATCTATCATATATTTGTGTCCTTTTTGGCACTCTATTAATAGTGTAACATTATATGTATATTTTTCTGTACACTTGTGTCTATCTTCACTATTAATTCAAGAAAGTTCTCTTTGCCTGCAGATATGGCATGACAACATGCCTTACAACAAAATAGCTGATAGAAAAGGTCACCAAGGATGGATGAAAAGGGAAGGTCCTTACTTTATCTTTCCTGGAGGTGGGACTATGTTTCCAGATGGAGCAATACAATATATTGAAAAACTTAAACAGTATATTCCAATCGCTGGTGGAGTTTTGAGAACAGCTCTTGATATGGGATGTGGGGTATGAACCTTTCTCTGTGTCTCCTCTTCTCTTATTACAAGTTTTCAAAAGTGAAACAATTATCTCATTTTCCATTTCAGGTTGCCAGTTTTGGTGGTTATCTACTTGGTGAGGACATTTTAACTCTTTCATTTGCTCCAAGAGATTCACACAAAGCACAGATACAATTTGCTTTGGAAAGAGGAGTACCAGCATTTGTCGCCATGCTTGGTACTCGCAGGCTTCCATTTCCTGCATCCTCATTTGATCTTATGCATTGTTCTCGATGCTTGATTCCTTTTACTGCCTACAGTGAGTCTCCTTTAACCACTGTCATTGGATTTGTATCGTTCCACTACCAGCTGAATATTTATAACATTTCAAACTTTTGATTTTGTAGATGCGACATACTTCCTTGAAGTTGATAGATTACTTCGTCCAGGAGGATACTTAGTCATCTCTGGTCCTCCTGTACAGTGGCCTAAACAGGATAAGGAATGGGCAGATCTCCAAGCAGTGGCCAGATCATTGTGTTATGAGCTCATCGTAGTGGATGGGAACACTGTAATCTGGAAAAAGCCTGTGGATTTATGTTCTTTAAATCAAAATGAATTTGGGCTTAATTTTTGTGATGACTCTGATGACCCAAACGTTGCATGGTAATTTATTCTTATTGTGAAGCTTGTCATTTTAGTGCTTCCTGTCACCTTTAACTTCTGCAATGCCTTGAAAACAAATCTAAATTTGGATAATACAGTTACTAAATAATGAGATTGCCTTTTCTTCTAGAAGCACTAGTTAAAACCCTCTCTTGCTGACTTATCACATTAATTGAGTAAATCTTTGCAGGTACTTAAAAATGAAGAAATGTATTAGCAAGTCTTCTAATGCGAAGGCAGAGTCCGTTGGAACAGTTCCAAAATGGCCAGAAAGGTTGATCAAAGCTCCTTCACGTGCCAGTTTGGTTAAAAATGGAGCTGATGTGTTCGAGGCTGACACTCGGAGGTGGGCAAGGAGAGTTACCTACTACAAGAAATCATTAAATTTGAAACTTGGTACTTCATCTGTTAGAAATGTCATGGACATGAATGCCTTATTTGGAGGCTTTGCTGCGGCATTATCATCTGACCCTGTCTGGGTTATGAATGTTGTTCCTGCTCGCAGTCCCTCTACACTTGGAGTCATCTATGATAGAGGCCTTATTGGAATGTTTCACGATTGGTAGGCTACCTGTACCTTGACGTTTCATTTTTATTGCTTGAAAGAGGAGCTAGTTAATGGCTAGTTAATGTTTAATATATGTGTGTGTGTGTGTGTGTGTGTATTAAATTAGAAGCTGGCAAAATCCCCAAAAAAATAAATAGAAAAAGAAATTCTTGTCTGACTGTTTCCAACATATGGTTCCTGTTCCTGTTCCTGTTACCTTGTTCTAGAGAAATTTGAGAGTCAGTCAACCTCCTTTATTGTTTCATCCTCCTTTATTTTGTAAAGAAAATTGCATTGTTGTTTTCTGTTATAATGTTTGAAAGAAGTTGAGTCAATGGGGAAGACTTGTATAACTATCTGAATGGCTGACTGAAAACTTTTGAATCTGAAACTGACCGACTGTGTCTGGTTGATTATAAACAGGTGTGAACCATTCTCCACATATCCTCGGACGTATGATTTCATTCATGCTGCTTCAATTGAATCTCTCATAAAGGATTCTAGTACTGGGAAGATGAGGTATTTATTAACTTTTTTTTTTTTCTGTAAATGCTACTTTTAAGTTGTTCTTGTATGATTCTTTCAAAGAGGTCTTCGTTTTCCAATTAATGCTGATTTTGGTAAAACAGTTCAGTGGCTGTTTCTGTTTTCCATTCGTTTTCCAATTAATGCTGATTTTGGTAAAACAGTTCAGTGGCTGTTTCTGTTTTCCATACTGTACATCATTTGTTTGAAAGATGGTTTAAAGATGGTATATATTCTCTCTGAAATGAACTAAAACTAATTGGAATCAAGAATTCTGTAGGGTACTCGTTACTCAATTAGGTTATGGTAAATTTGAGTTCTGCTGCAAAGATTTCATAAACTGTCCTCAATTTCTTGGGCATTTTTATTCTTGATAGTGTTTCTTTATACTGGTGACTGCCGTAGCAGTTGCCCTAAGGCATAGGTTTCTATCTTATTAATGTTACTGAGGCTTGTCTGCTGTTGAAATACCCCAAATGGTCAGAGATGAACTTCTCATACTGTGTCTTTATCATCTGTTTACAGAATCTTAAAAAGAAACGCTTCCCCACCATTTGGTTCAGAATTGATTCAATTGATGATCTCTTATTGGGTTTACTTCATTGCAGGTGTAACCTTGTTGATTTGATGGTTGAAATCGATCGGATCTTGCGACCAGAAGGGACAGTTGTGATTCGAGATTCACCTGAAATGATTGACAAAGTGGGCCGTGTAGCTCGTGCAGTTAGGTGGACATTTACTGTGCACGAAAAAGAACCTGAAACACACGGGAGGGAGAAAATTCTGGTTGCGACGAAACATTTATGGAAGCTGTCTTCATAATTTGGAACCTGAAACACATGAGACAGGATTTTGCTGTTCTCCATGTAGCATAGGAATCTTCAAATCGTTTCAACTGTTAGTTTTCTGTTTGGTATCAATTTATCTATAGTTGCCTTTGTATTGTCTTCATTTCACCGAACCTGCAAAAAGGGCTAGCCGCTAGAATTGCAAGTGTATAAAGATAACAGTATGTAAGGAGAACAGTCCCTTGATGATGGTCGTAACTTATAGTCATAGCTCTAGGTTACTACAGGTAAGATGTGTATTATGAGGTTTCCACTGCACTCTGAAATTTTTGACTTTTTTTAAGAAAATTTTTTATTTTCATATTTTAGAAAAGAAAAACTCTTTTGTTGTGGTGGTGGTGGTATTTGCATTTCAGCCTTTTCAGGTTTCAATTTCATACCCAGGAAAAGAACCCTATTAAATTGGAAAAGGATCAGCTTTGCCAATTGTGATACTCCGTATTACTAAACTACCAGCTTGTATAAGCTTCATCTTGACGTCAATGTGATATTTGTAAATTAATTAAGTTCAACAATAACAATAGACCTTCAATCCACTATGTGACGTATGTTTTATGAATTATATGTCACTAACATGTTCTGTCAAAACACAATAGTTCATTCAAATCATTTTTATTAGTTCATTTCAAGTGTTTTTTGGTTTATTCTTACACATTTTAATTTGAGTTATTGTTCTGTAAATTTCTACCATCTAAAAAATAAAGTCCAAGTTTCAACCCCTTGTTTAATTAAGTTACGGAAGATGGTTGGGAGGATTTACTATGAATACCGGTTTCTGTACGATTACTGGAATAGAGTTGTGAGGCTTTTTCAAGCTTTGAATCTCGCATGGAAGCTTGATTGGCTACAGATTGTCGTCGAAGTGAATAATCTAAGCATTGTGTTCGTGGTTAATGGCGATGAAGAAGTGTTGGGCATTAACGCCGGACTAGTTTATGGTATTCGTGACCTGTTGAAAAGGGAATGGACGGTAAAGCTCAATCACATTTACCGAGAGGCTAATTTTGTAGCCGACTACAACATGGCTTTCTTGGCTTTTCTTGACCACTCAAGGACTCGGGAGTTTGTAACTTTTTGATAGTCATCCACCAAGAGTGATACTATAGGTAAAACATGATGTAATGCGGATTGCATATCCCCGATAAGTTCTATTATAGGAAGTTGCCTTTTCTTTTTGTAAAAAAAATTTTTTTAAAAAAAATCTCATGCCCATGGTATACTATTGTCATTGTTTAATTATCGTAAACTCCAGCGTAGATTCGTTTGTATCCTATTCTAAACTACCTGAATCAACTTTGACTCCATTAAGTTTACATGACACGGTACTAGATCATCATGTGTTTTTTTTATATATAAACAACAAATTTATGCGCCGAAATTAGTTCTACGAGTTAAGACACAAATGAACAAACACAAAACATTTGATAGGTAAATAAATAAAATTAGTTATTCAGTAATGAAAGAGTGGTCACCATGGATTATTTAGTAACGTCAGTGCCATGATGACCACTAAATCATCTCACTAAATCGATTATCTACTCTTTCATTAAAAGAAAAAAAAAAGTTTTTTACTTGGAATTCTGACATTATTCATCAAGGAAGGAAAAAACAAAAGACAAGAAAGAGACTTTTAAAGGCAAAAATGTTCATATGTATAATGGTTAATTAATAACAAATTAAATTATCACTTACGATCCGAATATTAACTGATCACCAAACGAACTGAAATAATAATGTCTCTGAAAAACTTCAATACTAATAATAAATCAGTAAATGTTGCATTAATGTATATCATTATATATATTATTCATAAAACAAACAATTCAACACAACACATCAGCGTTTTTATGATTATATTAACCTGAAACTTCATAACGTGAACTAGCGAGTTAGCTAGCGGAAATCTTTTGTAATCTGAAAAAATATTATTTATTTTAGCTCGAAGAAAAAATGATTACCGAAGAAAATTAATTACGACCGGGTTGCCAATATTCGTATTCTCAATGGCCCAAAAGAAAATAAAAACCCATATATTTTGTAATATAACATGCATAACCGGTGCATATAATTTCCTGCAGTGACATATATATATATATATTATATATATATATATGTATGTAAATAAAGTCAATTGTAAAGTTATTTTAAAATAATGTATTTTCTTGGGAAAGTCAATTGCACATTCTCAAGGAATAATAACAAGAAAACCCCATATGTAATCTTCAATATCAAATGATAAAATAAATTTTAAAAATAAAACTCATTTGTTAGTATTAATAGTGAAATCTACATTATTTAATTTTGTTTCGGGTAATCTTTTTCTCAGATGCAGATTACTGTATTTAATTTTCGGTATTGATATATAGTATCATCTTGATAGTATATTCAGAAAACTGTTAGATTAACAAATGTCCACACACTCTACTAAGTATATCCTGGAATAATGACGACTAACCATGCATATTGTAAGGTGCTTTCTTCATCATGCACCTTCTTCTTTTTTAAAAAAATATTTTTGTCTAAATTACTTTAATGCTTACCAACCTTTTTTAAGAAAAAATAGTTCATTGTTAAAAACAATGTAGAATTTATTATCAATTTCAGTGTACAAAATAGGGCAAGTATATAATATGCGTTCTCCTTTTCATCCCATTTAAATGACTCAAATCAAAATAGTAAAATAAATTAAACAGTTAAGAAAAATGAGACGGAAAAAAGTATATTCAATTTGCATTCAATTTACTTTTCATTTGTAAATACAAATCACAAATTCCATTAATAAGGATCTATGTCAAGCCTCCCACTCTCTGTGATTTGCGTTTGTGGTGTACGAGACCTTTTTTGAACTCATGGCGCCTCAATCGTTGTGAGAGACCTAAAGCGAATTTTATGGTTGAAATTTTTTAAAAATAAAGAATTAAAAAAAGAAAGTTCTCTTAGTTTAATTACGTTTAAGAGACAGGTTGCTATAAATGAGAAACTATAATGAGGGACTTTTTTTTTTAACTGTAAGTTTATCTTTTAAGTTTTTTTTTTTCCAAAATTATTTTTACTGAGTTAATTTTTCTCGCTTTTTTGGAAAAAAAAAATTTTCAATGAAACTTTCATAATTTAATTCTTATACTAAGTCTTTTTAATTGATAAATTTCATACTTTCATAATTTCCATTTATATATGTAAATAATATTGTTGTTGGAAGGTATATAATGATATTATTAAAAATTTAGAGGCCTTCCTAATTTGGGGGTCTACAACAATTGCCTCAAGAGCCACCCCTTAACTGGAAAGACAAACAGTGCATTAGGGAGATTAGATCTTTATTCAGTATGGTTGATGATTGATAATTTCATTTTGTTAGTGTGTCACACAATATTCAATTTCTATTCAATCAATTAGAATGTTAATATTAAAAAAACAAAAAAGACCTCCATGAGTACGTACGAATTAATAAGCACGTTCACATTTACACGAATTTTGCCTAAAATATGGAACATCGACTTATTTAACCAAAGAAAAAGATGCATATGAATCTGATACAGCTAGCTGTTTTCTAGTTTTGTTAAGTAGACATAATTTTCACATTAATTCCATGTGATATAAATGTGACAATTATCATCCAGCAGAATCAATAATTCAATATTTACTTATTAAAGATCCCTCAAAATCTTGGTATGAATTAACGCTTTCATAACGTCTAGATTAATCCATATACGTACACTCAAAGTTATGAAAACAATCACAAGATTAGCAATTTTTCACACTAGTAAAATATTTGATCCTTAATACGCACAAGCCATAATATATTAATTACCCTATCCAAAATCGAAATCATATTGAAAAAAGGATATATTTTGACGAGATAAGTTAAAGATATTCAATAAGTACCTCATTTTGATAACTGATAAAACCTTTGCTATTGATTATTTGGGATATAAAACATTCGTATGTATGTACCTTATAAATGACACTTACTCACATATAGGGGAAAAAATTTAAAATTAAAATTAATTTTCCAAATTCATTAAGTTTTAAATTTGTGCTGCGATGTTATTTCATTGATTTTTAATTAATCAAGTACCAATTCTTTATACTAAAAAACTGGAGGCCTGAAACCATAATCACCGAATCAATTGTTCTGAATTTATACAATTCATTTAAAAAAAGTATTTAGTAAAGTTCTTTTATATTGTTACTTTCATCAATACATTAACCTATTACTCACTTTTGGGAATGAAGGAATGATTTAAGATAGATGCATTACAAAAAGTTCAATAACTGTTAATTATGAACAATTACATGCTTGATTAATTAATTGTATAAAGAAGTTACACATATAATGTAGTCAGCAAATTAGTTTTGTATCCACACCATTTTTGTATTTGAACGCGTTAAAAAGATTTTGTAGAGCAAAAAAAATAAAAAAAATAAAAGATTTTGTGGAGCAAAAACAATAATTCGATATGAATAGTTACCTAAACAACAAAAAAATCAACATATATGGATCCCATCCACTTTTTTTTGTAGTACTTCCCATTTCTGAGCTGATAATTCATGTAGAAAAACGGCATTGAGTGACTGGTTTACAACGTTGATGCCTATCTCTAAAAACGTCATATACAAATTGGGGAAATTTTGGGGAGGATTGGAGATCAATTTATGTAATCAAGGAGAATTCCAAAGATGATTTTTATTTTTATTTTTTTTTACTATTCCATAAATCATCTTGTTCACATAGAATAGTTAAAATATATGTCACGTTTTACAAACGATTTTTCATATAAAAAAATTTCTATATATCGATTAATTGTATATGTAGACTAGCTAGTAAGTGACGTAATTTCACTGACATTGTGATGCGCATCAGCGCATGAAGGAAACATCAGATGAGGTGTGTATCCAAAACAAAATTGTAAATGTGAATCCGAATACCTTCGAGAGAGTGAAGAAAGGAATGAAGAAAAGGAAGAAATATAAAATAAAAAATACTCCCTCTGTTCCATAATTATTGTCCAGTTTGAGTTTTTATTTTTAATTCAAATTGTACTAAAAGTAAAATCTTAAACTGGACAATAATTTTGGGACGGAGTGAGTAATAATTTCAACGAATACATACAAAATCTATCTTTCCTTCTGGGTCCGTAAATTTTTTTCCCTTTCAACCTTTTCGGGAGAAGTATAATGATAAATCAAAAGTCCACCTCATGAATTATCCAAATTCTTTTATTCATTTAAAGTATAATTAATTATTTAATTTTTGTTCAACCATATTCAATCTCAATAATACCCTGTACATGCTCAATTTACTACATTAGCAAGTTATCTGTACTTTAATAACAAGAATTATAAGACTTTATCCACATAATTTACTCATCTCATATATATATATATATACATATATATTACTCATCACATATTATATCAATTGAACCACATATATTCAAACTATAATATGTGCTCGATCTAAAATACCCCCTCTATCCTTATTGTCCAGTTTGATATTTCAATTTTAGTAAAATCTGAACTAAAAATGAAAATCTAAACTAGACAATGATTTCGGGACGAAAAGGGCAGTAAAACTGACTTTCGGAGTTTATTTTACAGTGGGTATATGGGTAAATATGGGGAGAGAGAGAAATGTGGGAGTCGGACAAAGGGACAAAGGAAAAAACACAATGAAAAAGAAGGAAAGTCATAAGCTGAAGAAGTAATAAGAGAGTCAACCGACCTCTTTCTCTTTGTTGTCAATATGGAAGTATATATATATAGCGAATATGTAAGGCTTCCAATAGTCCACATATTTGCGTAAATGTGTGTCACTGTACATCATATTATCTTCAATTCTTCTTCCTTCACTCTCTCTTTTTTTTCTTCATTAGCTTTCTTATAAATCCTTTAATCCCAACCCCTTTTCAGTTTTCACTCTCTCTTCTCTCTTCTTCTGCAGAAAAAAGCACAGACCTTTCTTTTTTTCTTTTTTTTTTTCTTCTCTCTCTGCCTCCGTTTTCTGCTTTTCCTTTCCCCAATCCAGACAACTTATATATGACAGACACACCTAATGCTATTAGCCCTTTATCACTAGGTTTATTCGTTTGAGTTTTCTTTTTGACTGCTCATCAAAGATAGCTTCTTTTGTACTGTATTTTTTTGGGTGGTGGGAGGGGGGAGGGATGATTATGGGATTGAGAAGGAAGTTTCCCTGTTGCAAGAATCAAAAGGGTTTTTAGTTTTTTTCTCTTCTCCCTTCCTTCTTCTTCTTTTTTGTTAGCCTTCTTTGGTTTGAGAGGAAGTTGAGACATTTGGATATAGTCCTCGTGTCTCCTCTGCCTCTCTTCTCTCTTTCTAGTTTGTTGTGTTTGTTTTTTGCTTTTCTGGGTTCAAAGTTTTTCATATGAATGCATTTTGGTCTAGAAGAAAGATACACTTAAAATTTGAGAAGAAGTAGATTTCATGAATTTTGGAGGTTTTCTTGATAGCAATTCAGTTGGTAGTGTTGGCAGCGGTGCAAAAATCGTTGCCGATATACCTTATACCGACAACAACGTTAACAACATCACAACTTCAAATATGCCCACAAGTGCTGCAATTTCTCATCAGCCCCGCTTTGTCACTCAGCAACTCTCTAAGTCCATGTTCTCCTCTCCTGGCCTCTCTCTTGGCCTTGTAATAATCTCATAACTTTTACCAACTTATGGTTTGTTTACTAAGATCATTTCTTTTCTTTCTTTTTTTTTAATGTTTGGTTTTTTGGGTTTTGAAGCAAACCAGTTTGGAGGGGCAAGGGGAAGCGGCTGGCGGAAGGATGGGTGACAATCATCATAATAGCATATATGAAGGGAATAATAATAATACTATAAACATGGGTCGGAGGAACAGACAAGAAGAACATGATATTAGCAGATCTGGGAGTGATAATTTAGAAGGTGCTTCTGGAGATGATCAAGATGCTGCTGATAAGCCCCCCAGAAAGAAGAGATACCATCGTCATACTCCTCAGCAAATCCAAGAACTTGAATCGTAAATCATTTTTTTTTCTTTTCTTTTCCCTTCTTCCTAGATACAATGAAAACATCATTCTTTCTTCTTGATGTTCATTTCTGTTTCTGTTTTGCTTTTTTGGTTTGTTTTTGCAGTTTATTCAAAGAGTGCCCTCATCCCGATGAGAAACAAAGGCTGGAACTTAGCAAAAGGCTATCCTTGGAGACCAGACAAGTCAAATTTTGGTTTCAGAACAGAAGAACTCAAATGAAGGTAAAGGCAGTAACCTTTTTGTTTGGTTCCTGTGAAAAAGGAGAATAGCTGTAAAAAAAAAAAAAAGGAAGAGAGAACTTTGTTTGTACTTCTTTTTCTTGTTTCCTTTTTCTGGGGCAAATCTTGAAATAATAACAGCTAACACAGATTGGACATAATTTTTTTGTTGATTGATTTTGCTTTGAAATTATTGTGCAAACAGACACAATTGGAGAGGCATGAAAATTCGATCCTAAGGCAAGAAAACGATAAGCTACGAGCTGAAAACATGTCAATCAGGGAAGCTATGAGGAATCCAATATGCACCAACTGCGGTGGTCCTGCAATGATTGGTGAAGTCTCTTTAGAGGAGCAACATCTCAGGATTGAAAATGCCAGATTAAAGGACGAATTAGACCGTGTTTGTGCACTCGCCGGAAAGTTTTTGGGGCGTCCCATTTCGTCATCAGCCAATTCCATGACCCCTCCAATGCCTAATTCAGCTCTAGAACTCGGAATGGGAGTCAATGGATTCGGTGCTTTAAGTCCCGTTCCGGCAACATTACCATTAGGCCCGGCCGATTTCGGGGTAGGAATCGGCAACCCTTTACCTGTAGTGCCGGGAAGTGGTGGTCCTCCGAGAGGCGGTTCCGGCATTGTGGACAGATCATTGGAGAGGTCAATGTACTTAGAACTGGCATTGGCTGCAATGAATGAACTGGTGAAAATGGCACAAACGGATGAACCCCTTTGGTTGAGGAGCTTGGAAGGGGGTAGGGAAGTGCTGAATCATGAGGAATATATGAGGACATTTACTCCTTGCATTGGAATGAAACCCAATGGTTTTGTCACAGAGGCATCTAGAGAAACTGGAATGGTAATTATCAACAGCTTGGCTCTTGTGGAAACATTAATGGATGCGGTGAGTAGTTGGAAAAATCCCACCTTTAAGATTTTGATTTTTTTTTTCCATCCTCTTCCTCTCATCACATGACTACGTAATCACATGGATTTCTTTTTGTTTTGGTTAATGTTGTTGTTGTTGTTTGACTTTATTCTTTTGCATGATGAGGTTCTCGTCCCATGAAGGCATAATCTTTGCCTTGTTTTTTAGTGCTAACTAAAAACCAGTTTCATATTAATGCTATTAGTTCATTTTGATGATGATTAATTAATTTTCTGGGCATTTTGTTTGTCATCACAGAACAAATGGGCGGAGATGTTTCCTTGTATGATTGCAAGAACTTCAACTACAGATGTGATTTCGAGTGGAATGGGAGGAACAAGAAATGGGGCACTTCAGCTGGTGATTTTTTATTTTTTTTCATGAAATTAACGTCATAAATGTAGTACTACTAGTACTTTTAATAATAATGTTGTTCCATTGGGATTACAAAAAAAAAAGTTGTGAGTTTTGTGAATTTAATTCGTTGATTGATGATTAATGGCAGATGCACGGGGAATTGCAAGTTCTATCACCGCTAGTACCAGTCCGGGAGGTGAATTTCCTCCGGTTTTGCAAACAGCATGCGGAGGGAGTGTGGGCTGTCGTCGACGTGTCCGTTGATTCCATCCGAGAAACTCCCGGCGCTGGTAGCGCCGGCGGTGCTGCACCACCGACATTTCCCACCAGCAGGAGGCTTCCTTCTGGTTGTTTAGTTCAGGATATGCCTAATGGTTACTCCAAAGTAAGTCTTTTTTTTCTTTATTCTTCCTTAAGTCAACACTCATTGACCCTCTTATTTGGCATTTTCTTATACACTTCACCTAAATTTCATATAGCCCAAATTGGTATAGCTTTCCAAATCGAGTTTCAATGAGTTTGGTGTAGTTATTAAAATGTTAAATCCACCGTCGAAAAAATCTTTACCCATATTATATCAAAATTCCTCCTCTAAATTATTTTGAATATAAAAAAAAGGACTTTTTTTTCCGTTTTCTTGTAAATCAAATGCATTGTTGATAAGTATTATAAGATGAAAATTTATTGAGCACTCCCAAAGTTGACTAGTACAACGGGACAAAAGAAGTAAATTTGTTAGCTATATTTGAGCACACAGATGAGAGACTAGATCCACTTCAAGTTCTTAAAGATTTTGAACCATAGGTTTGAAAGAAAAAGAAAAAAAAAAACATTTTATTGTAGAACACAAGATGCTTAAATGAGAGCAAAATCATGATGTAATGTGTAAGTGTAACCTTCATTTTTGGTACAATGTTAGTACTAAAAAAAAAAAACACTTTATTTTATGAGCACAGTATACTAAGAGAGAGAATCGAGGAAAGGGATGCAGATTTCGATAAACATTAATTAAGCACAAAAATGAATAGAAGGGTCTAATTATTTTTTTTTTATAAAAAAAAATTGATCAACAACCTAGGGAGGGACACATTAATTTCATATGATTTGGAGGTTAAAAATCCGGGGGAGAGATAAAAGAATCAATTTGCTGTTTCTATTCCAATCTCAGATGCTGTCTCGATCATCCACCCTCTTTTTTTTTCTTTTTTTTTACCCACAAAATATTAAATTTTGTCCAACTGGTTCCAGCTTCTATGATGCATTCGTTTTCCTACTCAATCTATATACATACTTACATTGTTTTTTTTATACACACATATATTTTACTTGATCTTATTTAGTCAAATGCTTTAGACTGGAAGGTAGCTAGCTATTTTGTTTTCACGTGAGGATCTAATAATAAAAAGGGTCTTTGCCCTTTGGGTTCATGTCTCTATGGTCTTCCTCGTGCCTTCAAATCTTGCAAAAATTATGTGTATTTATTCTAAAAAATGCTAGCATTATATTTGTGTCTTTTTAAAATTTTTTTTTTCTTGGGTGGGTTAAATTTTTTTTTTTGGTGTTATGTTAAGTCTTGTCTGTCATTTGAATCTAGACCTGAGACTTGAGTCCATCTCCATTCCTCGATATTTGTCTTGTACCATAGTATATATATAATACGTATCAAGGCGATTTCCTGTACTGGAATTATTATTGATTTGGATAGATAAACCGCCGAACCCTACAACATTATTGAGTGTCCTTTTGACGTTTTTCACACAATATCTGGCTAATCCTTTGATCCCAAATTCTCAATTATTGCTCTCTTTTTCATAATTTACGGTAATAATTTTGTTATAGTTTAAAATGAATTTTCTATGTGTTGAAAGAAATGGAGGCTAAAAGAGAAAAAGAAAAATAAAAAATAAAAAATCAATTGCCTAGTGCTGTGGGTTGATGACTTTTTGAAGTTGAATTTATGACTGCGAATTATTTAGAAATTTTGTGATTCCAGTTAGTGCACGTTTGATTTGAACTAATTAGTACGCAATTATCAATGTCCCTCCAGGTCACTTGGGTAGAACATGCGGAATACGACGAGTCCGTCATCCACCAGCTCTACCGCCCGTTGATCAGTTCCGGCATGGGCTTCGGTGCTCAGAGGTGGATCGCCACCCTCCAACGCCAATGCGAGTGCCTCGCCATCCTCATGTCTTCCAGCGTCCCTGCCCGAGATCCCACCGGTAATAACCATTTTATTTATTTAAACAATGTGACATTTATTAGTATGGTTTTTTTTTTCTTTTTTCTTTATTTGATATACTATCATTTACTTATTTATTTGAGATGGAAACATGCATGCAGGAATAACTCCAGGCGGGAGGAGGAGCATGTTAAAGTTAGCCCAACGCATGACGGATAACTTCTGCGCCGGCGTTTGTGCTTCCACGGTGCACAAATGGAACAAGCTGAACACCGGCAACATGGACGAGGACGTCCGGGTGATGACCCGGAAGAGCATGGACGACCCCGGCGAGCCAGCGGGCATTGTGCTGAGTGCGGCGACCTCCGTCTGGCTACCGGTTTCGCCTCAGAGGCTGTTTGATTTCCTGAGGGACGAGCACATCCGCAGTGAATGGGACATCTTATCTAACGGTGGTCCAATGCAAGAAATGACCCACATCGCCAAAGGTCAAGATCATGGCAATTGCGTCTCCCTCCTACGTAGTGTAAGTTATAAAGCTTCCCCCACTCATATGAAAAGGGGGAAAAAAAAAAATCATCTTTATTCCATGCATGCATTACATTCTCCCATCATGAATGATTAATTGGATTCCTAATTTTGCCAACACATTCGTCATCTTTAGAGTTGCATTGATCCTTACCTTTTAGCCAAATTACTGATTGGTACAACCCCACTTCATAATTCACTTTTTTTTCCCCTATAGGAAATATGATAATACGGTGAACTAATATAACACTTTTGTCCCAAAATAATAATGTGTTTCTCATTAATTGTGGTTAATTTTCATGGTAGGTTTAATAGATAGTTATATATGTAAGGTGAAAATAGGTGGATGAGGGCACCACCATATCTTGTTTGGGTGATTGAGGAGGGGTTCAAGTTTTATTAGTGTGAGGGAGAAATGTGAAAGTTGGAAGTGTGTGTAAAGGACAATTGAATAGATCTAAAAGATCTGCCTACTATTTAACCTTTTCTGGTTTTGTAAACATATTAAAGTCAAAAACACTTGGCCACCTGTCTCCTTCTTTGGGTTAACCCATGACTCTGGAAAAAGGAAAAAAAAAAAAAATTATGAAAACTCATCCCTTGAAAAGTCCTTGGATCAAGTTGACTCTTCTTAGATCCTGACATAATATGATGATCATCATTTCTTGAAGTTGCAAAACCTTTTTTGTGTAAAAAGGCATTAGTCATATAGTGTATGATGGATCCATCTCAAAAAGTTATACAGAAAAGTTTTGGCCTTTTTTGCTTGTTGTTTTTCTTATTTTGTTTTCTAAACATTTTTTGTTTGGTCACCTGAAATTCCAACTTCCACCTAAATAATTTCGCATGTACAAGTAAAATTTGTTTTATTTTCTGTTTCATTTTAAGTGTATATTGAAATGGCAATTTATGTAAATATGAAGAAAATTGAGGTCATTTGGTGTGTATAGGCCGTGAACTCGAACCAGAGTAGCATGCTGATACTGCAGGAGACATGCATAGACGCGGCGGGGTCGCTTGTGGTGTACGCGCCCGTTGACATTCCAGCGATGCACGTGGTGATGAACGGTGGAGATTCGGCTTACGTCGCGCTGCTCCCATCGGGTTTCGCAATCGTACCGGACGGCCCAGGCTCTCGTGGGCCTTGTTCTTCTTCTTTACCCAATGGACTAAGCGGAGGCAGCAGCGGTGGGCCCGGCGGCCACAGGGTTGGTGGATCTCTCTTGACGGTGGCCTTCCAGATTCTGGTGAACAGCCAGCCCACGGCGAAGCTGACGGTGGAGTCGGTTGAGACGGTCAATAACCTCATCTCTTGCACAGTACAAAAGATTAAAGCCGCCCTTAATTGTGAAAGCTGATTCAGAAGGAAAACAAAAGGTGGAAAAAGGGGCCAAAATTCTCAAGAATCTGACTTGATATATATAAATAGATTTTTTCTTTTTTTTTTGGGTTTTACTGATTAGATTCAGTCTATAGCGGACTATGCATTAAGAGTTTGTACGATAATACGCATTTTAAAATGCGTTTTTGTACAAATACTTAATGCAATAGGCGCAAAATAGGGCCGAGTCTAGTTGAAATATTTTGTGGGGGTAATTAATTAGATGGTATGTAATTTTGTAGAGGGTGAGTCAAGAACGAACCGCGGTTTAAAAATGGTGTTTTTCTTTTAAGAAAAATGTTTTGGGATAATTATTTTGATTATTCTTTGCACAAAAAGGCAAGAATATAATAGTGGTGGTTCGGGTATTGACTCAAGAAATTGACCCTCAGGGAAAGATGAATTCATGTGACGTACGAATGATGAATTATTAGCATTGGATTTCCATGGTTTTTCTAGTTACAATTACTTTTTGATTGATGACAAGTGTGGTGTGTTGCTGACATTTGACAATGAGTGTTTAATCTCCTTTTAACCTCTTCTTCTTTTTTTTTTTTCTTTTATTGTTAGTACATTGTTACCAAGTGAATTAAAACTCAATTATTGCGTCAAATGTTGATTCTTTAGTCATCTTGAAGCTGGCTTCCAACTTGCTTTAATTATTTGAAAATGACCATCAAAACAGTGGTCGGAGTTTTGAGAGGAAGTTTTTGAAGGAATAGATTGCAAAAAAGTGTAATCATGGTTAGTCTTTGACTGTCAACCTGTCTAGTGAAATCATGCTACTCATCTTGATCATAATAATATCGTAATCACTCACGCGAGAGTAATGAGAAGAAACCTCTGTAGGCAATCTTATCTTGATTTTTGGGATAGAAATGTTTGGACTAATGTGAACCAATTCATCCTATTTCAATATTCAAATTTCAGAGGAAATGTACTTGTATTATCACCGCAAATCTATCTAAACCAATACACTCTTACTATCATGAATAATTTTTATAAAATTAATCGAGGTAAACCATTTAATTTAATTTTTTTTTTTTGTATCACTATATTATAGATGTCGCTCATAAAAGAAATCTACCCGTAAGGGAACATTAATGCCGGTAGAGAAATTGGTCTAACTATATACTCAGAGCATCTCTAATCATTCCCCTATAATTTGCACCAAATTTAGTGTAAAAATAAAATATTTCAAGAATTTTTTTACACCAAAGTTCTTTGAAATCCAACCTTGATGCACCCAAATGGTTTAAATATTTAATATTTAGGTTAAATTTTATTTTTTGATTAATTAAACTCTTGTAATTTGTTGATAATTTTTTGAAATATGTTTTTTATAATCGCTTTTTATTTGATTGTAGTAGTATCATTTTTTTTTCAATTTTGTTCATATTTAATTTTAATAAAAACTAAAAATTAATTTTTTTAAAAATAATTATATTCAATATGGGTCTTATTTTGTAGATCTCAACCAAATTTTTAATATGATATAATTTTCATAATATAATTCGTTTTACAAATTCAATTACATAGCAAACATATATTTAGATCAAAGTAAAAGATAGTGTACTAAAAATAGAGTAATGAATAATTTACATCAAATCTAGTATACCACTATTCACTGTACCAAAATAATGTGGTGATTTAGTGTTTGGAGTGCAATCTTTGTCTCGGTTAGAGATGCCCTCACTCCCTTCTAAAATGACTTGGTTTCCGGTTACCTTTTTTTTAATCCGTCTATTATACTGCATTCGTGACACCAATGCCTTGTAATTGCTCCATTAATAATGATAATCTGAACAATCACTTAAGGGCATCAATGCTATTATTTGAATATATACACCATTTGCCAAATCATTATGTTGATATGTCTGATGATGCTTAAATGATTTATATTCTGAAATTGATGTTATAGAATGTGTAGAGAAATTTTTGTAACTATATACCCACTCTGTTCTAAAATGATCGTCTTCATTGCAAGCATAAAATGTATTAAAAATTAAAAATCTAATCAAAACAATCATTCTGAAATAGAAACAGTATTATTTTTGTGGATGTAGAATATGTATATATTTATATGATCCAAATATCCTTTGGAATAATCAATTTAAGTCAGCTTATGTAATGGGTGCATTGTTCGAATTTTCTCTTAATCGTTATTTATGCATACCCTAACATGTAATTTTATTCTATTCCGAAGTGATTATTTTATTTGTCGCACGAAATATATAATAAAAATAAACAATTAACATAGAACAAATTTTTTTTTTTTGGCTGTTATTTTACTCCGGCAATAATCTTATTAACATCAACCTTATTGGACAAATGATACCGGTAAGGACTAGTTCATTACCATAGTCACATGTGACAAAACCGTGTGTGCACCCCCAAACCTAAACCCTATTAACCAACCTTTGACAGTTCCCTGTAACCTAGTGACACCATACAGACTCTATGAGTCATTCATTCCTTCTAATGTACTTGAAGAAAAGATTCAGCTGATACGAACAAGAGTTACGTAAAAGAAATTTTATAGGTTAACCATATCTCTCTTGTGCCTGGGAATTGTCTTTTGGCTCGACTCGGCTCGTTTACACCCTCAAAACAACAGCTCGAAGGATGTGAAAGGAGAAAAAGAAAGGAAATGTGGGGAGGCTATAAGCTATTTAAAAAAAAAAAGGACGGGGTTTATGTGAAAGGTTGTTGTGGGGGCGAAAGGAAGAGGCATTAAATGAGAAAGAGGGGGGGCAAAGTATGCTGGAAAACTGAGAGAAAAAGAGAGGAAAACGGGGTCGCAATTAATGCACTGACCTTACACAAATTGGCTGGGTTCATTTTATTACATTTCATAACCAACTTCGTACATTCCAAATCCATTCCAGCTTATGGATCATCATCAAGTCACGGATCTCTACATTCTCCATTCTTCATCTTCTTCTGGGATTGGAGTTTTTGAGGGGAATAATAATAATTATTATTACAGTACAGTAGTCAGTAGGCTTCTTTGTAGCAACTAGCAAGCTAAAAAGAAAGGGGAATATATTGGTGGAATCTCTCTATTATATCTAACAAAATGGAGAATGAATGAATGAATGATGATATCTGCGGTTTCCTTCTGACATATTATTACAAAACCCCAAACACCATTTTGCACCCTTTTTTTTTTTTTTTTTTGTGTTCTCTGGTGGTTCAATCCTTTTAGTTTTAGTATACTATACTACGTCTTAATTGCTTTTGGCTGGCTTTGGATGGTTGTGCGTATTTTTAATAGCTTGAAGATGGAAATGAGCTGGTTGAAGATTAGGTCCCTCCCAATCCAATTCCTGACCATTTCTTTTGCGCTTTTATAGTTTTATTTATTCCTTTACCTAAATGGATGTCTCTACGTTGCATGAATTTTTTTTTTTATTTGTTGTTTAAAACGCTTTTGTAACAAGCAACATATCATTAGGCCATTAGTCGATCCCATTTATTACTTTAGGTACATGCACGTACGGTTGACCTCTTCATAGACGAAAGAGCTAGCACTACTATAAGATCCCAGTTTCACATCTCGATTTTATTATTTTATTTGCATATTTCCTTGACACGGGGTTCAGTTTGGGAACGACAGCTACATTTTTTGTATCTCAAAATAAATTTGTTGTTTATAATTGTTGTTTATAACTCTTACTCCCTCTCGTCCTTAATATAAGACATTTTCTTTTGCCTTAACTATAAACTAGTAAGCATTTTTTATCGATAAAAAAAATCTTAAAATATATTTTCACGTTCGTTGTGTTCTCTTGATTGTCATGAAATATTTTTTTCTTTTTTTTTTGTCAATTTAAAATACGTATTAGATAAAACTTATAACAAATCAACATGTCTTATTAAGGACCAGAGGGAATATTTGAGAAGCGGTAATCTTTAACGCAATCACTTATGCACGTACCAATTTATATGTAACATCATTCTTCAAAAAAAAAAAATTGATCGATCTAGGTCACATGCGTTATCAATTCTATCCTATTCTTTTTCGGTTAGCCAATATTATCTTAAGTTATCCAGTCGTTAGCCGATTTAGTCCAATTTACCAATTTTCGTTTAAAGTGACGGAATTCTGTTAGTTTTAACTACAAAAAATACCCTAATTGTAAAAATAACAAAAAAAGTCTCTTTTTCAGTTTTATTTTAATTTTTTCTGTTTTTTTATTTCTTTTTATTATTTTTTGTAATTATAAAAATATATTATATGATCTTTTAAAAAAATATTTATTTTTTAACTCTAATGTACAAATTTATAATTACATATTAGTAAGTCATGTTTGATTTACATAAACATATTAATTTTTTAATATTATAATTTAACAGTAATGATGGTATTTTTTTAATCTATTTTTCAATCTAAAAAATAAGCTTATTTAACTAAAACTAATTTGCACAAAAAAATAAAAAATTTACATAGATTAAAAATTTTTGTTGGTATTAATGTATTACAATTTAATTCAACAAAATTTAGATTGTATTCTAAAATTAAAAAAATATTTAAACTAAAATATAAATTTTCTTTAAAAGGCCAAGTATGAACAGAAATATAAAAAATATGTTACAGATATTTTATAAAAAAATATGTATATTTATCATTGCGAGGCTTTGACATTTCGTGATAATTTTTTTGAGATATTAACATATCTAACTTTAGCACGAAATTTTTGTTTTAATAAAAAAAAAACAAAGAAAATCTACTCCAATACTGGACTCCACCTTTAAAATTTTTTTTTTAAAAAAGGTTGTCCCAGTGAGAATCGAGGCCTCGAACACAGTAATAATCACTCCCATCTTAAATCACATGACCATCCAACTCAACCCTCTTATCTTTAGTAGAACATGCTTAAATGTAGATAAAATAACCCTCCCGGTTAGAAATCTTTTGGTGGGAATTAATCTTATATCTACTCTTATGAAGCTCAACACCCTAAACACAAGATTGTATCCCTATATTTTAGTTTAATTATGTTTCTTTTGAATTGGATAATACAACCTATAGTCTGTTTAGTTAATTTGTAATAAATTAAAATGTACTAATATATTAATTTTTAATCTATGCTAAATGTTTTAATTTTTTGCAAAAAAATTAGTTTTTAGTCAAAAAATCTTATTTTTGAAATTGAAAAAAAAGGATTAAAAAATAATATCATTATTGTCAAGTTATATTATTAAAAAAATTAATATGTTTATGTAACTAAACCATGAGTTACAAAGATGCATATCTATAAATTTGCACAATAGTGTTTAAAAATAAATAATTTTTTTTTAAAGATCATATAATATATTTATATAGTTATTAGAAATAGTAAAAAGAAATAGAAAACAAAAAAAATAAATAAAAAGTGAAAAAAGACTGTTTAGTTATTTTTACAAATTTTTGGTGTCATTTTTATATTTTTCAAAACTTCTTAGGGTGTTTTTATAATTAAAACTAACAGAATTCCGTCAATTTAAACAAAAATTAGGAAATTGGACAAAATAGACTAACGGTTGGATAGTTTAGGGTAATATCGACTGACCCAAAAAAGATAGAATTGACAATGCATGTC